GGGAAAGAAAATCATGGGATGTCTGTGGCTGCAAGACAGAGCTTGAAGAGCTTTAAGAGTATTGAGAAGAGTAGATTTGATAAGCAAATCTCCTCAGCTCGTGGACTGATGTGCTTGGTGCAGTACAAAGAGAATGTGAGGAGGGTTACTTATGGAAATGGATCACATCTTGTGATCCACACTCCTGCACCCTGTAGGAGGAGGTGAGGCACAGAAGAACCAGTAGCAATGATCCTCCCACTCCCATCCAAGGAATTCTCGAGGGCAGACTGAGATTTTTGAGACTAGGACCTGTGGTCTTCAGAGGTCCTATCATTGCCCTTGGGTGTGACAGGAAAGCCAGCACCTTTGTAACCTAGGAAATGTCACTTCCTTTATAATGGAGTAAGCAACATGGAACCTGGAAACATGCTACCCACCTGGGAGTGAATATTGGTGTGCTGCTCCAGGCTCACAGCGTGTCCAAAGGTTTTGCCACACACTTCACAAGCAAAGGGACGGGTCCCACTGTGAGACCTTCGGACATGGACCTCCAGTCCATGAGGAGTGGAGAAAACCTACAAAAACAAAATGGCAGTGATTTTCTTTATTTTTTTTTTAGGAAGTAGCTGTGTTTCCACCTCTGGTTTCAGTTTCTTCTCTTTATTTGATTTTATTCTTCCCTCTCGTGAGCCGTGTGAACTGCATCACTCCTAACAGCCCTGTCCCCTACTCAGAGGAACAAGTAGATGCCCATTTTGAGCCACATACATTGCACTTTGGTGCAACCCAGTGCAACGAAAAACACCCCAGCCCCTCCCCATCCCTGAGGCTCTCCTCTGTGACACACCTTGTTGCACTTCACGCAGTGGTAGGTCTCCATGTCCGAGGAGTAATGCATGCTGTAGTCCAGGGGGGGGTCAGTGCTTGGCAGGAGGTGGCTTCCATACAGGCTGACTGGGTGCTCCAGGAGGGCTGACTGCATGGTGGAGGACATCTGGCGGTAGCTGTATGGCAGGGGGTAAGCATCCCATGCAAAGCTGGCTTTGTAGAAGGTAGGGGTGCTTGTCGTGCTGCTGCAGTCTTTGATCTGCAGACCTGGGATGGCCATCTCTGAGTGTGCAAAGGAAAGGGAGAAGTGAGTGTCGTGTCACTGCCTGCAGCTGGGCACCCGTGAAAAAGTTCCTCATGTGCAATCCCCCCATTTAATGTCTTGCCTGACCTTGGGCGTTGCAGTTGGTAACTCCTCCTCCTTTGATTCCAACCCTCATCCCCAAACAAAGTTCCTATTATGACTTTGATTTCAATCTGAAGAAATTTTATGGGAGAGTGGGTGCTAAGGGAATACTAACCCCCCCCTGCTAGCCCTGCTTTGTGTCGTGCTTGAACAAGTACAATGTGGACACCTGCCTTGGCCCATATAGGACAGATCTGCATCACACCATTGATCTCAAAATAAGAACTGCCATTTACTGAAAATCTAGACCCAGTTGTAGGGGATCCATAAGACAGCTCAGCCCTGACCTCTTTTGTAATTGTGGTCTCAGGTACCAGACCTTGAGCTGAAGGGCCTTGCAGCATCCTGCTCAGGTACTGGACAGGGACACTTTCTTCTTTCAGTTCAGGTGGGTCCTTTTCTTGTTTTGGAACCACACATTCTAGGTCCTGTTTCTTGATGTCCTCTGCTGTCTTGTCTCCTGTGGCTGTAATCAGACAGTAGTGTCACAGTTAGTTTATTCTAGCTGTTAAGAGAAGAGTGTATAAGGATGGGTTTTGTACTTCTGTAAGAAAGAAGTCATGCTTGGATACACAAGCCCCTGCTCACTTCCCTAAGTTCTGAGTGGCATGATCAGCATGGCAATCAAGGTCTGTCCATTGCTGACAAAGGGAAATTCCAAGCAGGATGAGATAGACAAGATAGAGGGGGCAGGCAGAAATTATAGGACACTAGATACCCAATATAATCAGAGAAAATTAACCCTAAAGGGCCACATGTCTGTAAGAATCATTTCCCTATTTAAAGCCATTTTAATATGTGTGAGTAACTAATAATCACTAACTTATTAACCTCCCCACCCCTCTCCTAAGAGAGGTGGGTATTGTTAACCTGGATTTATGGACAGCCAAGTAGGGAAGCAGAGAGGGAAGGTAACTGCTCATGCAGTTGAAAGGTGACCACAGAACCTCATCTCCTCCTGTGCACTCTCACATTTCTCCACACTTGCCCCAGCCCTTGAAGAGACCAACCAGCACTTGTCAGAAGTAGACTTTGTAGTCAGAATCTAAAATGGAAAGGGGTTCAATACATGTTCCTCCTTTCTGCTGGAGATGGGACTGGGCTGCTGAAGGCCAGTGTTCATCTGTCATCCAAACCCTCTTGTGCACCAGAGGGACCCAACCAATGGGCAAAGGATGATGGCAGGAATTGAAATGAAAATGTCACTTCCTTTCTTTTTTATCAGACTTATCATAGGGCTGGACTCTAATTTGATAGCCAGGCTAGAACAAAGGGTAAGTTGATCCTGGATTTGAATAAAGAAAATTTGAATGGTGCCAGAAGGAAGAAGATAATTGCCCTGGCCCTGCTACTGCATGGATGGCTGTGGGAGAGCATGAACAGGAGCAGAGGGAGGGCAGCAGATGTAGGCAGAAGCAGTGTGGGCTGAGGTTATTATGGTGCATAGCAACCAGACCTTCACCTGTGAGTGTGTGGGACTCCTTTCATAGTGTTAGGCTACCACTAGAAATCTTCCTTGCAAATCACCGGGACGAGGTGGTGACACACTGAGGTAGAGAAGATGTAGGTCCAGAGAGAATGTGGGTGGTGAACATAGCAAGCTGGAGATCGAGGTGGCAGAGCTGTGAGCTGGAGGGAGACTGACAACCAAGTGCACGCTCTTTTCCCAAGTTAGCTGCCTGAAGCTGGCCACCCTTCCCAAATGTGACCAACTCCACACAGCAATCTTATGTCTCAGATCTCCCCAGCAACCCAGCAGGAAACAAAGGGAGGATCTAAATTTGGTTTCAGTGGGACAATGTGGATTTGGCCTAGAGAAAGAGGGCGCACAGCAGGGGATCAGTTTGTCCTTAGACACTCCCTGTGTGGAAGCCTTCAGTTGCTCTTTAGCTCACTCATCCCACTCCCTGAGCTTGCCTACTCAATTATTGATTTGCCTCAGTGTATTCTTACAGGCCTGGTGGATGGATTTACTCACCAGTGAAGGGCGAGGTTACTGGATCCCAGGTGAGTACAGGCAGGTCATCTTCCCCAAAGCGGTGCTGGTGATAGCTATGAGCCTTTTTGCTCTTCACCAAAAAGGAACGTGGCATTTTCCATCCACTGCCTGGGCAGAAACACAGAATAACAGCAGGTAAATCTCTGGTTCCGGGGGGTAATTCCTCATTTGCACATCAGCCCTGTGTGCAGCAGTGATGAGAATTAAAACTTTTCTATTAGGGGGACAGAGAGTTCACCTCAGAGCTCCCTCCATGCAGCTGAAAAGCAGGGAGTGGTTGCTTGGGTTTAGGTGCATGATGGATCCCAGCTCTGGGGAGAGCAACGTAGCTGTGGAGGGAGCTAGATGAAAATAGCACCTGCAATATAGTCTGTGCCACTGACTGCAGAGACAGGCTGGCAAATCAGAGATGGGACTGCAGATTACAGTATACTCTGTAAAAATTACACTTCACAGTCTACCCTGAGCTTGAGACAAGGGATTACTGCTGGCTTTATATTGTAGGTGGAGAAACAGAGACATGCTTCAATGGAAAGCTGTGTACAGACCAAAACTGTGTCTGTGGCAAAGATACGTCAGAAGCCAGGATCTCTCTCTGCTCTGGTTGTGGGACATGGAGCATCTCTGACCTCACCATGCCTGAGAGGACACAGTGGGGACCGTGGGCTGGAGATCCTTTGAGAAAGGGTCTGTCTTAGTGTTTGTACCACACCTAGGAGATCCAGGCCCAAGCCATGATGTGGATTCTTCCATGAAATTGCTACACAAATAATAATTACAGAAAGAACCTCAGTAAGAGGAGAGATGCAGCTGTGATGTCTGGTGGGTTTCCTTCTCATTGGCCATAGCCTGAGTATTTTGTATTTTGGCTGACAAACAGTCAAGCAGAGGCAGAGCAGAAGTGCTGGGTGAGAGAGGTTACTTTTTGGACCTGACTCAAGTATCACAGACCGTTGAAATGACGGGTTAGGAACAAACATAAAATGTTGAAATTTAATCATACAAAATTCTCTTGCAATGTGTCTGTTATCTCTCCTACCCAGAGCCCAGCCCGCCCTGTGCCTGCTCCCCGTGGCTCGTAACTGTTCTCATGTAAGCAGGATGACAACAGGCTCGATGCTGTGCACAGCAATATCAGCTGGCGCCTTATTTGCATACCTATTTGCATTTTCCCCTGTAATTGTTCAGGATAGTAGCACTAAAAGCAAATCTTGCTATATTTTATATGAAGAGTCAGCAGTAAGTCCTGTCTCTCTGTTGTTAGGAAAGTGCATTGCTAAGTTTTGTGTTTTCCTGCGAGCAGTTGAAGTGTAGCCTACTTATTTCTTAAAAAAAACAACTCCCAAAGTTTACTCCTGTTGAGTAGGAATGACCTGAAATGTCTGTGTGAGGACAGAGCAGTGTAGGCTGCTGGAATCCCAACCAGCCAGGGATGGATCAGGTCTGCTCCTCAGGGTCCAGAAGTGCCTGCACTACTCCTACATGCTAAATATAATTACATAGCCCAGTGGGGCTTTGTTTGAAGGTCTGAGGGCCACGTTTGCAGCAGTGCCTATGGCTGCAGGTACGTGTACTGTGGAATTCACACAGTGAGGTCTCCTGGGGCAAGTGGACTCTTGTCAGTGAGAGTCAAGTGCTCAGCAGCCCAGCTGCCTTTGGGAATGCAGTTATAGCTGTCTTTTTAAATCTGCTGCAGGACTCCCACTGTTTCTTCAGGGACAACGCTGTGTGTCTTTAGCCATTTTTTCTTCTGAAATGACTCACCTGTTTTTGTTAATCCTTTTCCAAGAAATTTGCATGTAACTTGAGATGAATAAGAGAAATCGGAGGCCAGGAGTAGATTTGCTAATTTAATTTTAGAAAGAGGACAAAACAGTACTGAGAATGAACCATAAGTACGCCCTTGAGGGAAGGGACGCTGAAGCAGAGTGCTGTATTTACTCTCCTTCAGCTCCCTAATGAGGTTCTTTCTAAGTATCATAAAGTGGATATCTGCCTGGTGAAAGGCTGCAGGCACAGGAGTACCTCCAGCTGGGTACAAATGCCAGGAGCATTCTGCAACGGGTATAACCCTTCTAGCAGCATGCTCCTAACCCTGCTCAGCCTGTGCACCTCGCATCCCAGCAGGAGAGCTTAGCTCAGAGGGTCTCACTGCTCTTGGTCAGCCCTAGATGGGGTATCTGTGTGTGGAGCTGGGCTCTGTAATACAGACACTCCCCAAGTTTAAGTCCTGCCACAAATCCTTTATACGTGGAATTTCCAATCATGTCAAAGGGTTTTTCCCATGTGGTGGGGCAGGACTGTGTCCACAATAGAGGGTATTCATATTAGCAAGCTTTAGACGTGAGATTTCTCTGCCTGAATTAACCAGTTAATTTCTTTGGGCTTTCTACACAGTGGAGGAAGAGGGTCCAGCAGCGAGTCACTGGGCGTGGGGTGAAAGCCTGGAAGAGCACTCTCCCTGCCCAGCAGCTGCAGGGCCCTATGGCTGGACAGCTTAGATAGGTAAATCAGAGGACTAGAGATGGATGGCATAAGCACTCTTGCAGTGTTTTATGGTCATACCCATATGCTAAGGGCATGAAGCTACTACGTACAGCCACTCTTTTCTGATGGCAGTTGAAAGTCCATGCACACGAATCAATGGGATTTTTCTGGATGTGTTTGCCTCAGCATATGTAAAAGTCAAATTTGGTCCAGTATCTTGCTTGCTGATAAGGGCCTTTACTGAGCCCAACGATCTTCAATGTGCTACTGAACGTTACAAAAGGAAGTTACCTTCCCCCACCCCATTTTACAGAGAAAACAGGAACTGGGAGCCCAAAGCATAGTTAATTAACAACTGCATTGGACTGTCTTTGTGATTCACACAGCCCGGTTAGAGGAAAACTAGAAGCACAGATTGTGAGAGAAAAAAAATACTCTCTTTCCTTGAAAGTCAAGATAATCAGCAGCAAGTGATCAGCTGCTACTAAGGGCTAACTCTCTTTCACAGGGAAAGCAGTGCCATGGACCACAGACCCTGCCACGTCTTAAAGTCATTGAAGCTTCCAACAAACTCAGCTTCAGCCTTTTGCTAGAAATTAAATCTGATTTTTATGGAGTCTACTCTTGCCAGCCCCTGTGGCAGCACTTTCTACCTTGGCTGGCAAGGGCCCAAGGGAGTTCATTGCTTGGGCAGAAGCATCTACCCAAAATGGAAGTGTCATGGCATTTTTTGGATTCTACAGAGGATTATAAAACCAGCAGCCAGCTAGAACTGACATTCTTATTTGTTTGCCATTCGTGCAGCTGTACACTAATGTTGTAATAACCTGCCCTGAGGAAAAGACAGCTAAAAGGACCCAAGGGAAAAATAACTGCTTTGCTATTTTGGGTACCTAACTTGAAGCACCTTAGAAGGGCTTATTTTTATTTTATTTTACCCGCTGTAAATTGCCCAGTCAGATCTGAAAGTGGACCCAGCATTCATGTGTTCCCCTCCTATGTTCAAAAGCAAAGTTCCTTCATCCTCAGTGATGCTCTGGTAACTTTTTCAGAGTATCACATGTAAAACTGTAATGTAATACTGAAGCAGTGGAGATGGTGGAAGAACCAAATTAAAAGGGGGTGGCTTTAGTGAGTGGCTTCTGACTTGGGGATCCTAATCTGACTTGATTCCATGTTCCTTGTGAAGCCCTAAGTCCCACATCACTGCATGGCAGCTCATAGTGTCCAGAAATACAGGACTGAGCCCTTTGATCAAATTCAGAAGAAATGAATATTCTCACTGAATTAGAGCTGCTCTTTCTGGTGCCTTCAGTGAGATGTTTCATCACATGAAACACCGTGTGTGGGAACAGGTGTTTGCAGGATTGTGCCACACTGAGTCAGGAACTCAATTTGCAGCCTAAATTCCACTCTAAAGTTGACTTTCATTTTCCTCTAAATTCACGTAATCCTGTTTTCAAATTTACAAGGTTCATCATAGAGATAAAACCCTTTTCCCCACCATACTAAATGGCAATATTTAATTTTAACTTGCCATTGATACATGACTTCATATAAGTTCATGAGTGTACAAAGCTTTAGGCTAAAAGAGGCTTATTTCCTTCCCATTACTTAATTTATATTTCAACCTTTGCTTTTTTTCCTGTTTTTTTTTTTTTTTTTTTTTTTAATAAAAGGTGAAGCTTCCAAAAATGAAGAATAGGATGTCTTTCAGAAGACAAAATTTTTGAAGAAAAAGAAAGTACAAAACGGGACACAAACTGTGTCTGAAATTAAGAGCCCAAAATAATGAAATTTTATGGACACCTGACTCTTTAAAGTCATATTCGGAAAGAATTTCAGTTCTTTACAATGAAACTAATAATTTCTTCACTAGTCCACCCTTGCAAAATCGAGTTAACTTGGGGCAAGTAATTAGAATGTGGCCTTTTTAGTGAAAAAATGAGCAGAACATTTTTAATTCCTGTGTTAAGACTGCACAAATGGATATTATAGCAGGAGTAGAAACTTGTGGTGGAAATTTTGCCCAAGAAGTGGAAGGGAAATGCTGACACATTTGTAGTATCTAGAAATAATAGTTAGAATATAATTGCAGCATTTGTTCTTTAGAAACTTCATTTAGCTCCTGGTGATGCTGGGCTTAGCACTGGCTTTAGCAAACTTTGCCTGAGGCTATGGATAAATAGATTTATACAGTGCAATCTAACAAATTCTAGAGCCCCTTAACATATAGATGCACTTACTGTGTGAACTTGCAAAACATTTACTTTCCTGCTCAATGTATTGAATCAATCTGGTGGTATAGGAGAGGCATCTATAAATAGCTAATACCATATGCTAAAAATTGTGACACTAATCAGCCTCTACTTAGGAAAGATGGAAGAACAAGAAAAGAAAAGAAAAGAAACAAAAACCCTAAACAGGAGAGACTGAATTCTCATCTAGCAAAATTGGCATAGGTGACTTGATGCCAGCAGAGGTGTGCTCTTTTCTGAATTTGAAGGTGAGGCCCTGTAAAAGAGCAACTAAAAGGAAAAAAAACAATACACCCTCTCCTCAATGCTCAAGCATAAAAGTCGACATCTAAAAACTATTCCTACTGCA